CTGTTTTTTTTTTTTTTTTTTTTTTTTTTTAAATATAGACACTACCATGAAGGACTCCTCATGGCTGTTAATTGACCTGCCAGCATGTTTTGGGGGGAATTAATGTAGATGTATGACTGTCTAGTTTTATTGTAAATATACATGGAATTTTAGTTCTATCTACTTTATTATCTGTCTGTTAAGCACAGACACATGCACATACCCCTTACATTCTGTATGGGGGTGGGGGTCCTTTAAGACCCCAGTAGAAGAATTCACAAGACTCAGTGTATAATCACACAACTATGATTTATTATAATGAAAGGATATAGAGCAAAATCAGTAAAGAGAAAATGCACATGGGGGAAGTCCAYGGGAAACTAAGTGTGAGCTTCCGAGAATCATCTCCCCAACAACATGTAGGGGTGGAGGGAATGTTGTCACACAAAACCTTCGTCGGTGGTGGCCCAATGAAAGCTCAGTTAGTCCAAGTAGCTGAGGGGCAAAGCAGAGGTATAGAAAGAACCTTATTACCACAATCTGCCTGGTTGATTGGAAGATGGCTGTACTATCACCATTGTCCTAGGGACCATACCTGCAAGTGAAGGGCTTATGTAGGAAATTTAAGGAAGTGTTTCTTCAGCCACAGATGGGTGGCACCAGAATATTCACTAAKCCTACAGTGGTCTATTTTCTGATATTATCTGACAGTTATCAGATGTTTTGGCTTGTGTATATCTGCAGAAAGATTATTGATGAGAAGGCCTTATGATAATGTTTCCCTTGTTTCCTTTTTCTGGAATAAAAGCTCTTAATGTCTTATTTAGAATTTAAAAAGCTAGGGAAAGAAAACAAAACTCAAGTTTACAAAGGACAATTTGCAGAGGACAAGTTAACTCACTAGGTAGCTTCACTTTCTGCCCTTTGAAGGTTCAGTAGATTGAATTTGCTGAAATAAACATCCGATAACAGGAGAGGTAAGAATGAAAACTGAGTACCCAATAACTGAGTAAGATTTAGAAGCTTATATACCCTTCTTTAAATGAGAGAAGTGGGGACCATAGGCGCTTTCTGAGAGAATAAATGCATTGTGGGGAGAGGAGTGGGTCCAAAGAACAGACAGTTCCTAGGGCAGAGTTCCTCTGGGTTTGGAAGGGGTTAAGACGAGTTATGGAAAGTTGAAAATTGTGCTGTGAACAAAGGCAGTCTCTCAGATGACATCCGCAGAAGGGATGGAAAGTCTGTCCAGTATATATAGTGATGACCTTTAGTTTCTTCTGTGAATAATTTTCCCTGATTAATGAGATTTCCAGGATGATTTTATTCCTTCTGGATGAACTCCTTAGGCAAGGGAACTTAGAGAAAGCCATTCCCTGTAATTCCAGAAAGAGGATCCAGTGATTTGTAGGAGGGGTTTGGAGTAGGTGTTGGGAGGTCAGAGAATCCGGAGGCTGATTCTCTAGTTCAAAGTGCTGAGCGTGTCAAGCCTCAACATTTTCTAAGCATCAACAGAGATAATGTGCTTAATTTTTCCAGCATAAAATTGTGACATTGTATGAAATGTAGGAAAAGCTTGCAAGTAAGTTTTTATTGGAAGCTGGTTATTTAGAAGCTTATATACCCTTCTTTAAATGAGAGAAGTGGGGACCATAGGCACTTAATGAGAGAATAAATGCATTGTGAGTAGATGAGTGGGTCCAAAGAACAGACAGTACCTTAGGGCAGAGTTCCTCTGGGTTGGCAGCCTTCCTCTAATGCAGCCTCTCTGGCTACTCATATATGCCAAAATTCCAGACTCCTGGAAGGAAAGCAGGTATTCATCCATACACGTCATCTTTTGCACAAATAATTTAGGCATAGCGAACCACTCCTATCAGGTATAATGGGAACCTCCCAAAATTCAAGTTCCCAGATGCCAGCCAAGGACCAACCTTGAAAGCAGAACTTGCTAAAGAAGTCTCAGGTCTGCTTTTCTGCACACATACATATGAATAGTGGAATTTAAAAAGAGTTTAAAGAAATGCCACTATTATAATCACTATTTCCCAGAATTCTCCAGAAGCAGAAGAGAAATCTGTTCAGATTTCCATTTTGAAGATGGTGTTGCTACAATACTAAGAAGGATTGCTAGGAAACCATGGAGAGTGGAAGTGGGTTAAACATGTAGTAGCTCAGGTGATAAGAGGTTATCAGCTAGTGCTTTTGAAAGAAGACCTGGGAATCAAGGAAAGGGGAGGGGAAGGAGTCAAAAGGGATACTACATATGTATATTTATGTGTGTATGTATATGTCCACATGCAATATATATACTACACACTAAGACAATAAGAAAATATCATGAATGTATTTTCTTTTCTGTTTCTAAGTCATAAGGGGAGATAAGTCCAGAAAATTTAAATATGTAAAAATTTAAAACCTATGATAGAAAGCAAGAAACAAACATCAGTAAAACTAAAAGGAAATGGGAAAAATATTTATAACCTCTAAGAGTGTTTATGGCCTTATACTAAGATTTGTAAGTTAGTACTTTTAAAAAATCTTAACCCAGTAAAAATAGGCAAAGTGTATTAATGGGCAGTTCACAAAAGGAGAGAGTCAAATGGTCATATTGTTTTTCAACCAGGACCTTTTAAAGCAAGAACAACAATGAGATGCAAATTATTTTGCAAATTAGCTGTTTTTTTTTTTTTTAAGAAACTGTAGTAGTCAGGTACTTGGAAATGGAGGTAACTTAAGTGTCCAGCATTATATTATTGATATCAGTTGATTTTTTTGTAGAACTTTTTTTTCTTAAAATAGTTATAATCTTAAAATAAGTGCTTAACAAGTTAAGACTGATGATATAATAGATGTAGAAAGTTCAGAAATGATATCCTATTAATATTAATACAGGATCAAAGAATAGACATCTATAGAAGTTGGTGTGCTTACTTATGAATCTTTTTWAAAAAATCTTTGTAGGAGCTGGGTGTAATGGTGTACTCAGAAGACTGAAGCAGGAGGATTGCAGTTTTGAGGCCAGCCTGGGCTGACTACTTAACCAGAACCTGTCTCAAAATTTTAAAAACAGAGAGAGAAAAGAGAAGATAGGAAGGAAGGAAAGGGGGGGCAGGGAAGGAAGAAAAGAAAGAAGGAAGGAAAAGAAAGAAACCCAGGAGGGTTAGGGACATAGCCCAGAGTTTGTGCTTTCTACTTGCTTAATAAGCCCAAAGCCCTGGGTTTGATTCCTGGCACCATAAGGAAAGAAAAAAAAAAAGTCTAAAAATTGATCGAATGATGGGTATATGAGCAACAGTGAACAAAGTATTATGAACCTATGAGACAGTGGTAAAAGCTACTGTCCATCTGAATCTGCAGAAATGCCATTTAATCCTCAAAAGAGTCTTGACAGGCAAACAAAAGTCTTTTATATTTTATAAATGAGAATATTGATGTTTGGAGAATTTAAGTATTTACCTATGGCTAGTTTGGCTGAACCTCTACCTAAAGCCAGGTTTATCTGAGAATAACATTTATGATTATCTGTAGCCTTTTTTTCTTAATAAGTTGCCATGTTGATCTTAAGAACTTGAAACAATATATATAATTTAGCTTTTGTGAGTCAAGAAATATGTTTTAACTATTTATGTTTTATTATATAAAGTGGTAAACTCCTTGTTCCCTGATATACTCAGACAGATTCTGGATAACCATATTTTAAGAAGGTTTTAGGTAAATCCTARTATCAGTTTGAACTTTATAAATTTTGAGAATCCACCAGATCTATGTTTTTATGGTGTTAATTCTCTTTCTTTCACTTCTGCTTGTGCATTTCATCTAAATTTAGGTCATGTGGAGGATCATAAGTATATGAACTCAAAGTGCTGTGGAAATCCTTGAAAATTAATGTTTGCCTTATGTTTTGATAGGTTGGCACATGAGTCTAAACCATTAATTGTAATCCACTAAAGAATTCTGTCTTATGTAATCAAAATTCATGTGGTTTATTCTTGAATGTAGACCAGAGGAAGGATTTGTCTATTCAAGTGTATATGCTTTTTCTCAACAAAAATGAAAAATATTTAAACCAATACTTTCTTTTTGTACTTTAGCTATATGTAAAAAAGAGCCAAATGTAATGGGTGAACATAATAGTTATCTTACCCTAGATGTTTGATAGAAAATACTTTGTTTCCTTAGTTAGAGTTTGTTTTATGTTATTCCTAAACATTTTTTGTTATGGAAGGTAAATGCCTGTTATTTTTAAAAAAACATCGTAGAATTACATAGATTATAAATTTGCAGGGGAAAGTAGCTTAAATGTCAAGTACTTAATTCTTATGATGCATTATCATTAGTTTGAGTGTCATTTTTTGGAAAAATAGGTAAATTCAGTCTGTTGTAATGTAAGACCTGTTTACCCATCCTGTATCTTTATTTATTTTGGTGCATTAAAAACTGGAAATGGAGAATGTTTTCACTGCCTCAGGGATTAGTGTTTAGAAAATGGCCAGCATTGCTCTTAGGCTGATACTTTTGAAAGAGTGGATATAATTTATCTCAGGTCTGTAGCATTGCCAGTTCCTCCTTTAGGGTTTAATGTCTTATTATGCTTCAGGTGTTAAGTTGACAGTTTATCACATACTCAAACATACCCCGATACCTAAAGTATATATAGAAAACAAATGTGAAATATTATTGCTTATTCTCTCCCAGTGTTCCTTTATACTTGTTCATGATTTGTCTCTGATCAAATCCAATATTTATGGTGAATGTTCTAACCCTAATGGATTAATGTAGGCAATCTCTATATGAGATAAAATCATGACAGATATTCAATTAATAGAATATTTGCGTGTTTCGGGTTCATTTTACATCCCCAAAATAATAGTGTGATTGTTGTGGTATAAATATGTCAGTCTTGAAACTAGAGAAGTCATAAACCCCATGTGAAATGTATAGTTGACTATTATTTATAGCTTATATAAAATGTTCTTATGAACGCTTACCATTATGTAAAACTTATTCTTTTATTTTTATAGTCTGTTCGGCACTTGAAGTACTCCTTGTTCAAGAAATCTCTACTGGGCAGTGTTTCAGATAATGGAGTAGTAACTCTCTGGGATGTGAATAGTCAGAGTTCATATCATAACTTTGATAGTACACATAAAGCTCCAGCTTCAGGCATCTGTTTTTCTCCTGTCAATGAATTGCTGTTTGTAACCATAGGCTTGGATAAAAGAATCATCCTCTATGACACTTCAAGTAAGAAGTAAGTGTGATGTGCTCATATCTTACTTTAGTTTAAAAAAAAAAAAAAGTTATTTTATTAACAAACATAGACTGCTGGCTAATGTCCAGGGGATCTAATGTTTTTACACTTAATATGTATAGCTAGTAAAATCAAGCTCTTTTTCTTTTCATGCAGAAAAAATTGATAGGGGTATGGATATTACTTAGGGTATTTTTGAAATATAAATATTGAGGGATAACATCTTAATATTTTCATGTCTTTACTTTAGCATACTTACTATTCTTTTTGTAAATACGTATTTTTAAAGCATTATGATTAATTTGCTTTAAAATTAATTTATTTTCTAGATCAAAGTTTCCTAAACTATTGACATTGTGGACTGGATAATTCTGTGTTGTGGGGGGCTGTTCCAATTATTGTAGGATATTTTGCAGTATCCCTGGCCTCTACCTATTAAATCCTATTATCATTGCCAGAGTCATGACAGCCTAAACTTTCTCCAAATATTGTCAAATATCCCTGGAGGATTATGGCCCCCTAGATGATCTTCTAAACATCTGGGCCCATTTTGCTTCTTTCTTCAGTTATAGGTGTGCTGGATCAGTTACGTAAACAAAAAACAGCTACAAGAGTGCTAGAGCTATATTCAAGATACCTGATGGGAAGTTCCCACTGTCGGGCCTTGTTAGGATGCTAGAGTTTTTACTGTTACTTTTTTCACTCTCAGAAGAGTTAGCAAGCCATTCTTCTCACACTAGACACACAGGCAAAGAGATCAGCTTCAGCAGATCAAAATCCATATTTCTGTGTTAGCTTCTTCAGGATCAAGCTACATGGACTCTGTTCCTTTTAGCTTTTTGGTCAAGAAGTGTACAACTGAGAACAAAGTAGCAGCTGCTTCCCTGTGAAAGGTCATGGTCCTCTTGAGACCTAAGCAGTTCAGTAAATGGAAAGTGGTTACTTAGACCTTCATCAACCCTGAGGCTAGAAACCCTTTTTGTGAAGTAGCACATAGGAATTGTGTCACATTCACTTCCAAGATAATAATTACTCAGGGTGCTGTTTTCTACATTCTGGTTGATGTAGATTGTACTTATTGAAAGTGAATAGAAAAATAGGATGTAACATTCAGCAGTTACTTACATGTCATTTTATTAGAAATGTCTCAAGACAGATTCTAAAATTCTACTTTAAACAAGTGTTTGGGATGTGTATGCTATTTACCCAATTCTAACTTGGTTAGTAAACATTTATATCACATACACATATCTGCATATACTTTGTTCCCTTTTCTAAAGGGTAGTGAAAACTTTGGTAGCCGACACTCCTCTGACTGCAGTCGATTTTATGCCAGATGGAGCCACTTTGGCTATTGGATCTTCCCGTGGRAAAATATATCAATATGATTTAAGGATGTTGAAATCACCAGTTAAAACCATCAGTGCTCACAAGACATCTGTGCAGTGTATAGCATTTCAGTACTCTACTGCTCTTACTAAGGTGAGATATTTTCAGCATTTTTTATTTTACTAAAAAATTCTAGCTCAAAATATGTAAATTTTTTTCACTTAAATGCAGTATATTGGTTCATAATTATATGACGGTATTTTAAATAACTTTAGCATAAAGCCCTCTGATACTTAATTTTAAAAATTTGCGGGTACTTAATTTTCTCTGCTTTAAAAGTATTTTAAAAGTATTTTTATTGGTTTAGAAGAAAACTCAGCTCCAACACCAAGCTTAAGATATGTAAGGGAAGAAAATGTTTTTAACCTAATAGAGAATATAAAATATTAATTAACGTATAGTAGAAAATATTAGTAACCTGACCCTTTAAATGTTTCATTACATTTTAGTCAAGTTTAAATAAAAGCTGTTCAAATAAGGTCACAGCAGCGAATAAACGAGCCATTAATGTGAGCACCTTTGGTGGAGGAATTCAGAATTCTGGAATTGTCAGAGAAGCAACTGCCACTTCCATTGCCACAGTTCTCCCGCAACCCATGACAACAGCTGTGGGGAAAGCAACAGTTGCTGTTCAGGACAAAGCAGGTAAATGTTATGTATGTAGAATTTGGTGTTTTTTTCTTCCCCAAATATATTWAATTAGCATTTTCTTTAAGAATGTTTATCTCAAAATTCATTTGAGCATTTAGGTAAAATTATCAGTAGATGTCATTGAAAAAATGAAAATTTTAACTTTGGATATAAGTGTGTTTTTTTTTTTTTAATTCATGAAAGGCACTTATTCTATTCATTTAAACTTCTATTGTAGGAAATAGTGATTATCTTAAAAAATGGAATGATGCCAACTTAGAAATCATTCATCTTCAGTGTTACCAAACACTGRGTGACTTTCCATTGTGTTTTCAATAGAGAATATGAAACTTTGATGTTCATTATAATTTGACTGAATAGTTTTAAAAAAGCTGTTAATGACTCCTTTTATTTTATATTTCAGAATGAAAAGTAAGGTGCTGTAATTAATGTTTTTAGGTGCTCAATAGTACCTGGCACATATTAAGCAATACATTAGCAGTTTGTTAAATTGCAACATATTCATTTATTTTTTYATTTATCAATGATTTCTTCTATTCTGATAATCATTGATGAGATGGTTCTGATACAAAAGTTCCTGTAGACTTTGGGAAGATATTATAATAAGCTTCATCATTCTTAAAATAGAAAACATCCCTTATTCCCAGTATAGACCATATTGCTGAAAATCTTTTTGTTTTCAATGTATTAGGCTATATCATCAATTTGCAGTACTTTTAAAAGTCTTAATGGCAAACTAGTTTTGAAATATGCACAATATATTCATATATTTTTAAGTTTTCAAGATAGGTAGTTTGACAAAAATCATTTTTTGGTATCTTCTGGGTAGGAGTTTTAATATTTCCAAGTAGCAGCAAAACTTTAATTTGTTGACCTTGATAGTATGGAATAGTTTTTTTWAAAAATAATAAGTATATTTACTATCAATTTCCTGTGAATATCTATATCATCCTTGTAGAATAGTCACTATGTATAGAAAATAATTTGGTGCTTATTTAAGGACTCTTGGAGACAAATACCATTGCTATTTACCTAAAAGAATAAGTTCTTTTTGAAATATGACTTTGAGTAATGTCAGCCAATTTGTTAGAATTAACTGTATTATGAAAATTGCCAATAAGTTAAAAAATTCTTTAGAAACATATTAATTTGATTCATATTTTTTAAAAATAAGTTCTCTCATTTACTCTAAACTCAAGTCTCACTGTTATGTATCTAGTTTTTAATAAGGAGTCTCTTATTTAAGGATGACAACATTAATTAGGAAATGAAAGACGGGTCTGTTGGGTCACTGATGAATGATAATGGTAGGCAAATACACAAAATTTCTGGCAAAATGATTGTTTGCTCTCTCCCCACAGTTAAAGATTTTTATTTATTAACTTTATTTTGAAATAATTGCTAATTTACAGAAAGTTTTTAAAATTACTCAAATAACTCCTGAGCTTTTACTCTTTAGCAAATTCAACACTTTGTAAGTTTTGTTACATTGGCCTCCTCATTCTTTCCTTCAAACACTTATGCACACACACACACGCATACACACATCTTTATATACACACACACAAAAAACACATTTTTTCCCCCTGGGAAGCATTGAGAATAATTAGACTTAAATCTCAGATCTATTACTTCCTATCTGGACAGCTTTAGACCTCTTTCTTAACCTGCCAGACTTTTATTTGTTCCCTCCATATATTGAGATAATAATGAAGAAATGTATCACAAGTATCTGGCACAAGGCAGACAGCGGATGGTGGTATTGCTGATACTGTTATCTTCATGATCATCACCATCACTCTCATTATTTTATGCTTTGTGTAATTATTGTTGCTTCTACTAAAGTTGTCCTGATTTAGATATTAAAAAGAATCTCTGAAGACTTGTTTCTGGTGCTCATTTTTAGTACAAAACATTTGTTTAAGAAGTCAAAACTAAGGCTTTAGCACTGTTTTTATATGATACCAAACTTGTTTTTTTAAAATATTTAATTTGTGCATGTTAAAGCTTGCATATTATTACAGGCTGGAGTTAGACCTAGAAAGGAGGAGAGAAAATGTCTCTTTATAACAGTTTAACTCTTATGGTAAACACTTTTCAGTGGTTGTGATATTCAAATGATTTGGTTATGTTTCAGCTTTTTAGCAGTTATTAGAAAAATTTATTCTATTAGCAAGACATGGACATTTTTGGATGTACAATAGTCCATTCTTTGTTTTTATCCTAGGGTTTACAGTTTTCATTTGAGACTGAGATGCTAAATAAAACACTTTAAAATATAGCACAGTAATGTGCTACCATTCCCAGATTTTCATCCAACTTCTCAAATCTCAAGAACTCATTCCTTAACCCAGAAATGAGCAAGAAGCTACTGATCCTACAGAGTTCCTCTTACAAAGTCCCTGCATTATATACTGCCAGAGAAAATAAACTGCTGCAACCTCTTTAGTGTTGTGTAATGAATCTTGTTTGTTAGGCATTGTACTACACACCTGCCAGACTTTTTGCCTCCATCATTTGTAGATGAACCCAAGAGTTCATAACAAAAGTAAGCTGTGTTCAGAGGGCAGCCAAGTGTATAAATTATTTCAGACATTTTCTATTAAAATGGCTAAAATAAAGTGTTGCTGTATGAACAGATAAGCTTTTTGCTTTTGAGGAGCCCTTCATTCATGAAAGTGCTGATTGGCTTAATTATTGTCATATTCTACTTTTTTTCACGGATGCTCACAGTTGTAAATTTCTAAAAAATGGGTAATATTGATAATTTTTTCAACTTGGCTTATGATAATGTTTAATTAGACTTAATGACAACTTTTTTTAATCTAATTCATCTAAGGTTTTCCTCGAAGCATAAATACAGATATTTTATCTAAGGAAACTGACAGTGGAAAAAGTCAAGATTTCTCCAGCTTTGATGATACTGGGAAAAGTAGTTTAGGGGACATGTTCTCACCTATCAGAGATGGTAAGTGTATTCAGATGGGTGGATCACGTTCTATTGCTGGTGGTCATTACATTCTCCTCCTAAAATGTGGGTAATAGTTTTTGTATACTCAAGTTAATTAAGACCAATTGGCTTATTTTCTCTTGTCCTGGGCAACATTTTTCTGATATTTTATATATATACTCTATCATATATAAAAATATATTTTTTGATATTGCAGATAATATAATTCTAAAGTAGTTATTGGCAATTTTCACATGGTAACTATGCAAATAGTTCTCAAATTAAAATTTTATTTTAATTTCCACAAAAATTTCTTTCTTTACTGTGGTGCTGGGGATCAAACCTCAGGGCTTTATGAATGCTAGACCAGTGCTATACAACTGAGCTGTATACCCCTAGCCAACCAAAATAATTTCTTAAAGGAAGTTTTACCTTTATAGGCAGTCTTTTACTTGTATCTACTTCAAAATGTCTCCCTAAAATTTTGGATGTTTTGGTATGCAAAATATATCTTCCTGGTTTAAAAAATTTAGGATTGTTAGTGGGTTTCTTTTTCTTTTTTTTTTAATAGGAAGTTTAACTACATTGAACTTTATTTATTTATTTATTTTTATGTGGTGCTGAGGATCAAACCCAGGGTCTCATGCACATGCTAGGCGAGTGCTCAACCACTGAGCTACAACCCTAGCCCTAGATTGTTAGTGTTTAATTGATATTTGTTAAATGTTTTCACAGAGTATATGGCCATATGATAGAATACCTCCTCATTTATGCTATGTATGAAAGTACCATATTTTGTGCTTGTGTGTATACATAATATATATTAAAAATATTACCATTAAGTCTTTGCTGGCTTGATAGGTGGGAACTAAGACAGTATTTAGCTGTACTTTTTAGGTGCTAATGTTCATCTTTTGATGTATTTGTAGGTGCTGTACTTTAGATGCTAATGTGGGAACATCTTACTATTTATAGTAAAGTAATCAATAATATGGGTAAATAGAGGGTAATTTGGAAGAGTTAAATTAATCATATTTTTTGGCCTACTAATTCCATTTCTACAAATTTACCTTAGAAAATATTCAGAGAAGCCTACAAAGATTTGTGGGTTTACAGTTTTATTTATAGAAGTGAAAGCCTAGAGAGAATCAAAATATCAGGTTTTTGTTTTTTTAGTTGTAGATGGACACGATATCTTTATTTATTTATTTTTTTAATGTGATTCTGAGGATTGAGCCCAGTGCCTCACAGGTGTGAGGCAAGAGTTCTACCACAGAGTTACAATGCCCACCCCAGTATTAGGTTCTTGAGGTACATCCACTTAGGATTTTTACAACTTCATTTTTACTTTAAAGTTGTCTTTCCCAAGTTTACATAGTCAGAAGGAATAAACATGTGTATTTGTATAGAATTATTGGTTATTCTGCCTTACCCTAGTCAGAAAATATCCACTTAAATTTCTGGGTCAGAATCTCCTATCTTTCACCTAATGAAAAAGGAAGGATCCTTTTAGTATAAAGAGAAAATCAAAATACATAGTTAAAAAGAGTAAAGAAGGGAAGGAAGTTGGTGAGGTGGCGCACTCCTCTAATCCCAGTGGCTCGGTTGGCTGGGGCAGGAGGATCTCGGAGCCTTAGCAAAAGAAAAAAAAAGACAGCCTCAGCAAAAGTGCTAAGCAACTGAAGGGATATGGCTAATTGGTTGAGTGYCCCTGAGTTCAAGCTCCAGCACCAAAAACTAAGGAAAGAGTGGCTAGAATTGAGAAAGCTTTCTAGGATCAGCACTGAGATGGGTAACTTGGCTTCTGAAACCTGCTTAGAGCACCTTTTGCATTGAAGAATGTAGGAAGGGCTTTTTGCAAGAGTTATAAATTAAATTTTTTAAATGAGTTTTAAGAGAAATGATTAAGTTAATTTTTCCTTTAATTACTTTTTATTGTTTTTTAAAAATGTGATGAAAATTTGAGGCATGTCCTCAATTCTTTTAGAGTTTTATGTTATTAATATGGAAAAACATGGTTACTAAATATAGTGCTGACAGTTTTCATTGTTGAGGGATTTTTCTTTTAATCTCAAGGATGCAGCTCTCTAAGGAAAAGACTTAATCTGTTTTTGTCTTGATTTCTTCATCTTGTAAATAAAAGTATTTCTCTTTTAAGAGGAAATTAATTTATAAGATTGTGTGTAGCGGGCATATTATATACAGTTACTGAGTCTGAAACACTAATATAATAGTCATTTGAATTTCTGGTGAATTTTTTAGTGACTTGTCCATTTTTCTATTTATCTGTTAAAATTGAGTGTTTTTTAATCGATGAATAATATAGCATTGAAATAATCTCACACATTCTGCATTAAAATAAAAATAAAACCTTGTTTTTTATAACATTGTAGTACTTGCACAATATTTGTGTTATTTCAGTTGAGCCCCCAAACAAGATGATCAAGGCGTTATCCCATTGAGTTTAATTGCATTGTAAGCTTGCCTGAAGTCACAAAGCTGTGAAAGAAATAGGCAAATGGGATCATAGATATCTATAACCAACTTCAGGGCTTATTCTGCTCTTTCCTGTTTCATTAAATTATTCTATATCGTAAAATTATATTTTCATATTTGGTACTATGCAAGAAGCTAGAAGAATGAAAAGGGAAGTTTAAATAAGTACTAGCTTTAATCTTTAACCTCATTCACTCCTTCTTAAGATTGATAGTCTCTGAACTCCTTGGGGAAAGAATTGGAAGTCTTAAGTTGCTATGGCTTATTTTTCACTACTTTAAAATTTGATTCTTTTTTATTTTATTGTAGATGGTGAAGTTAACAAGGGAGTTGATGAGTCTGTAGGCAAAGGAGATGGTAAGAACTATTTAGAAGTATTTTCATGAAAATTTAAAATGCTATTGGATTATCTGTTGCTGTGTAACAAGTCACCCCAACATTTTGAGGCTTAACAGAACAAACATTACTTCTGTGGATTGACAGATGATTTTGCCTTCAGATCTCTCTTGATGCTTCAATTAGGGTATCAGCCAGAGCTGTATTCAATTCAAAACTCAACTGGGCAAAAATCTGCTTTCAAGCTCATTCATATGGCTTTTGGCTAGAGACATTATTGACAGTTAAGCATCTCTCTGGGAAAGCTGACCACAGAACAGCTATTTTCCTCAGAATAGGTGAGTGAAAGAGTGAGAGAAGGCACCCAAGATAGAAGTCACAGTATTTGTAACCTTATCTTGGAAGTGGCATCCTAGTATTTTTGCCATATTCTCTTTGTTAGAAGAAAATTCACAGGTCTAACTCATATTCAAAGAAAGAGGAATACATAAGGGCATGGGTGTCAAAAGACACATCTTAGAGGCTGCCTACTAAGATACATGCCACAGATACATACCAAATTAACCCTCTTCATTTATCAAAAACTAATAAAGCATTCCTTGTGTTTTCAAGGTATTTTCACATGTAATATTTTTTAAGCCTCACTATTCTTAAGAGAGAGAGAGAGAGAGAGAGAGAGAGAGAGAAAGATCATCTTTCACATTTACACATCAGGAAGTAAGTTTAAGATTTTTAAATTTGTGCCTAAGAGTATACATCAGTTAAGGGGAATAGCTGAGAAACTAGTCTTCTGACTCAAGTTCCTATGTGTTTGGCTATGTTATTCTGACTCTATTAAGTCTTTATTTTAAGTATCCAAGATAAAGGATATCATGTACCATTTTTGTTCTCCTTTTCTTCAGGCTTTGACTTTCTACCACAACTGAACTCAGTGTTTCCTCCAAGAAAAAATCCAGTAACTTTAAATACTTCAGCATTGAATTCTAGTCCTCTTAATGTCTTTATGGGATCTCCGGGGAAAGAAGAAAATGAAAATCATGATCTGATAGCTGAGTCTAAGAAAGCATTTCTAGGAAAACAGGATCCTAAAGATTCCTTCAAACAGGTATGTGCCTGAAAATGATACTGAAGTCACTTTGTTACTAGAAAGTGAGTGGCTGCCAGGATATATCCTAATTATTGAGAGTGCTGTGCACTTACTAGGTAGAATAATATTTGCTTTTTAACAACTAAAGAATATTTTTGAAATCTGTCTTTGGCTGTGTTGAAGGTAACAGCAGATATAAATGTATACTATTTTTTCTTAAGGTAAATATTTGCTGTACTGTCTATGTAAGAACACTTGTTACCTGAATTTAATAATATATTTCCATTGCAGCATAAGACATCAAGTTGGTGGTTAAGACGTTTGCTCCAAGTTTTAGAGCAAATTTGATGGTGCTAAGAATGAAATTAATCATTATTACATTTTAYGAAAAATACAGTATCCAATATAGAATTAATTTCTTATGTAAGCATTCAAAATCTGTTATAGGAAGGCCAAGTCAGTTAGGTGTATAGTATGTGTTTATTTGTTTTCACATTTATTTTTTAGAATAATATTAAAAGATAATTATGGAATAAATACGTCTTTTGATTTGTTTTTTAATATTTTTGTGTGGCTGTCTCATAAGAGTTTGGGGATTTTTTTTTTAATTTTGGCCAATGATTTTCATTTTATGTTCAGAAGATGCTTAGTAAATTAGTTTTTTTTCTTATGATGTTATTGCAGAGATTGTTTTTGATCTGTAAAATTAATTTATTTTGCCGCTAGTCCCAGAATATTTTTTCTCTTTCTATTCTTCCTTCATTTCCCCAACCCTATCTTCTGTTAAAAGGGGGAGGGAGTGGTAGGAGAAATAGGTAAAAAATTCATTAGTAATATGGGTAAAACAAGAAATTAAGTATATTAAAAATTATTTTGTTTTAAATATAAAGTTTGCAAAGTTGATCTCTTCTGGTACTGAAACTGGAAATCTAAATAATTCTCCATCGTCTAACCAAACAAGAAATCTTGAGAAATTTGAAAAGCCAGAGAAAGAATTTGAAGCTCAGTTCATATATGAACCACCAGTTAATGGATCTTCAACTCCAAGTAAGTACATAAAACTTCATAATGTTTGAAAATGTTAAATTGAAAAATCCTCCAAATATTTAACTTAAAAAGGATAGAGTGATCATAGACTAAAAAAAATTCAAGGACTTTAAAGTTTATTGGCTTGTCTAGTGTCTGGAAAACAATGACATATGTATATGAATGATTAAGTTCAGCAATATTGATTTCATCCCCTTTTTGTGTGAATTTCATTTTCAATCTAATATGTAAGGATTTTATTAAATATGGTACAGATAGAATTATAATTTAGGACCCTTTGAAAAGGGATGGTTAACTACCTAAATTGTAGTTTTTCTTCTTCATATTTAAATCTTTCTCTTAGAATTTAAGCCACAGACTCATAAAACTTGATTGCAATTTAAAGAGTTGAAGTTCACCTCTAAGAATATTCTGTATAAAAGAAMTCTTCATATAGGAGCAACTCTTTATATAACTATCTGTATTTTACTTTAAGGTTTCTGTGGGTGTATTGCATTAGCTGAAATGCCAAGACTTTGCCTATAGCACTACTTTACTCCTACCCTCCTTCTGTTTGTTTTTGATAATCTTGGTTTATCTGGTTTGTGGTATAGCTTGTCTCGTTCGTCTTTTATTAGAAGAAATGGTTCAGAGATTCTTCAAGATTAATTCCTTTGTCATGTTATTACATTAGACAGTTGGCAGTTTATAGATAGATAAATGACTATTAGAAATAATGTCATATAAAATTTTTAAAAATTGTATTCTAGACAGTGAATTTTTCTAAATATCAGAGGAACACTGTTCTTTGCCAGTTTTTCAAGTTCTCTCATGCCAAATCTTATTTAGAAATGTTTGATGTCTCTTAGTCCAAATTGACTATTCATATTTTCTCCATTCTTTATTTTAGATCCAAAGATAGCATCCTCTGTCACTGCTGGAGTTGCCAGTTCACTCTCAGAGAAAATAGTTGATACTATCGGAAACAATCGACCAAATGCACCATTGACATCTGTTCAAATCCGTTTCATTCAGAATATGATACAGGAAACATTGGATGACTTTAGGTAATAATTGAGAAATTASTCTATCTAAACCTTGCATTTGTTTGTTTATTTTTATTAGTGTAAAACCAGAACTATAAGTAATGGTTACTACATTTTATCTAAATTATTGTGAACATAAAACTATAGAAAACGTGATAGGTTTTGTTGATCTAGTTGTACTGCATTTATTGACTATCAACCAGGAACAGGCCCATTTACCTAGACAGCTTGACAGGGAAGTCTAGCACGCAGACTGCTATTCTGGATTTTTTTAATCTTCAGATTGTGAACAGATTCTTGTAAACTCATGTGTAGTTCTTATATCATTACTTATAGATCACCTGTTAAGTGTTTTATTTTTAAAATAATTCTAAATATTTTTATATAGAATGCATCAGAATGTAATAATATAACATATGTAATATAGAAAAATTTCCTTATTCTTGCCTATCTCATCCTTTGAATGTGGTTTAGAATTTTGCTTCCTTTTACTTATTTCAGTATTTTTGGAAGCCATTTTCAATTATTAGAATTTGTGGGGTTTCTTTCTCATTCCCCTTCTAGTCTATAGTTACTTGGGATTATCATGAGTAAGAATATTGGAGATGTGCAGTTTTTGTTTGTGAATATTTCTTTTTTATGTTTAAAATATTTTTAAAATGTATTTTTTAATATTAGAAAAGTATATTTTAAAGAAAAATTATTTGGGCATTTACAGTATACCTCGTTTATGTACCAGATACAAAAATGAACTCTGTACCCAAAAAGAACTTGTAGTTTATTYGGGATAGATACAGTACATCCTTCTATGATAGGTGTTTTATGTGAATTAGTTCTTTTGTGATTGGTAAATCGGGCAGAGTTGACAAAACAATTGGGAAATTTCATTGTTATAATAGCAGCCAAAGTAAATTACATGTAAAACAGCTTAATGAAGCCCCTGTCAATGTCCATCTCCTCTGGCTTTCTCTTAACTTGGTGTGGCTGTATGGTCTGTGTTAGAAGCACTTATTTTGTGGTTATTCCCCATTGTGGGGATTGAGGGGGTAGCATTTGTCCTTGCCTCTATAACTTGACAGCCCCAATCCTTCTGCATTCTATCMTCTTCCATTAAGTAACCATCACTTTTTTAAGGTAAAGTGTCTTATTCAATATTTATCTATTAGACCATGTTTTTAAAACTGTCCTAGTATTTTTACTAAGATTTGTTTTTGTTAGTGCTTTGTGACAAAGTTGCATAAGTTTTGAGTGGTGGACCTCAATTCTTTTTTCCTAAGTCCTATTCTTTTCAATACACAGTTTTAAAGATTGTGAGGTTTTTCAGGAATACATAAATATTTATGGCATAATAGCAGAACTGTCTGAACAAAATGATGTTGGAAACACAGAAAAGGAGCAATTTGCTGGGGCAAATTTAGAAAAGAATGACTGAAGAGATTTTATTTTATACTCAAGTGTGTGGGAACAGTATGAGCACAGAAACAATTGTAAATTTTAGGAATACTTGCAGAGAGACAGTACTATGACGAGATGCGGCCRAAAAGGTAGTTATGAAAGCCTTAACATGTAGGAATAGAGGGGGGATCATCAAAGTTTTTAAGCATGAAAGTAATGTTATTTATTATCTGTTCATTCAACAAGCATTTTAGTGTTGGTTCACCAATGGTTTTGTATGATTCGAGGGCAGTGGGCTCAGGACTATTCCTTCAGCAGGCCTGGGGATCTGAGCCCTGGGATGACTGAATTATCTGTGCTTTATAGCCTGCCAACTCCCTGTGTTGCTAAGGGTTGATTTTTCTTTCACTTCTGGTCTGATCCTGGCTTAGTACCCAGAGTGGCTCAGGATTTCAGTTAACTGTTCTGCTTTCAGTCTTCAGTAGGTGTATTCAGCTACACCAGTTATTGAGAGCACAGATGGAACAGTATTGAGGGACTCACTCTCAGTCAGTGTCTCTGGTCTGTAGTGGGCTGCTGTGGTATTCTCCATGAGGACCTGGAGTGCTTCAGAGGGGTTATGCTCAATTCTCTTCCACCCTAAGACTTTGCAAGTGCTTTACATCTGTAWCTTAGGGAGTCTTTCAGCTCTGCTGCTTGCCTATCCCTAATTTTTTACGCAAGCACTCAGTGAATGCATGTAGGGGAACGTGAGCGAATAAATGCAGGCTTTTTAGTTGTGATTCCTTGGAATTCTAAACTGCCATACCAGGCTTCACCTGTTTTTTAAAAATGTATAAAAATTTCAGCTGGTTCTCTTTACCCTTTTGTAGGCAGCTTTCTCCAGCCACTGTTGTATTGATGCTGAAAATGGTGCTGGGTCTTTGTATCCTTATCATTTCTTTGCTATTAGTTTTTTWATATTTTTTATTCTAAACTTTGGTCAATTTAAGAATGTATGATTTTATAGGTTATCAGGCTTCTTCTCATAATTAGAATTGAGAGTTTACATATAAGTGGAAGTCTGTTCAGCTGCTTTGTTGTCTTTCAAAAAGATTTAAGTTTGTTTTGGCAAGCTGGTCACCTTGATCTTGTTGTAGCTACTTTTTAAGTTTTTTTGAGAACTCCTTTATTCTAGTTTGCCTTTATTTCTAGTCTTTGCCCCTCCAGGCCATCTGCTGAGTATTCACCCTGTCTTTTCAGGTGGGTCTTAAACTTTAACCTATTTCACCAGCATCACAAGGCTTCCAAAGTTCCTTCTCTGCATTTCAGCTGTTATTTTATGTTTGGTTTACTGACACATAACCCAGTACAGGCATTGTTTAGGAGGCAGTAGATAGRTATCCAAAGGGGAAATTTCTGCAGGCTTCTCCTCTTCAGATTCTTGGACTTTTTAACATTGGCTTTCTTGGTAGTCCCAAACTCTAACACTCCAACACTGGTGACACTGTCTCAAGCTTCAGAAGAATGCTGCCACTCAGCCTTTTTCCACATTGTGGAATCAGCACATATTCCAGAGACAAAAGCAGAGGTAAATGTGGGTCTTACCTAGTAGACTTCCCTTCTTTGCAAGAATGTGGCTCTTTAAGCCCTGGCTATGCTGATGGTTCTCTGATACCAATGATGAATTTATCGATTGATAAGGTACTTGCTAGGCAAGCATTCTACCACAACTGATATCTTTAGTTTTTAATACAACTTTCATCGTAACTGAAAGCAGAAAATATAAATTATTTTAAATGCCATATAATTGCAACAGAAAATTTAAGGTACTTGGGAATAAATCTAAACAAAAATAGTGAAGATTTTTTGACTAAAAAGAATTTTTAAAGTGAATTACAAAGCATTTACAAATAAATGGAAAGATTTTATGAAGATGACATTTCATCTAACTTGATCTATAGATGGAATGCAGTCCCAGTCAGAATCCCAGCTAGGTTATTTGGGAGATGATGAAATGATTCCAAAATTGTATATATATGGAAGTAAAAAAGATCCAAGACTACTATCCCAAAGAAGAATAAAGTTGGAGGGGACTGATTTGATGGATGGATAAGCTTAGTTATTAAATAAAATTAAGATAATAGTATAACACTGGCACAGCATGGACAAATTGGTCACAAGAAGCAAATAGTTAGAAAGAAACCTATGTGATTATGGAAACTTGATAAATGACATTATTAACATTGCAGGTCTGTGTCCAAAACATGGAATATTCTATAGATTGTAATATTTGGTTGTATAAGAATACCTTTGCTAATTAAAAATMAATTCTGTATAGAATAAAAGTTGAATTGTAAAAATCAAAATTTTAAATATTCTAAGAGATCTTAAAACTTCAGAGTAGGAAAATTATTAAAAATAAGGAAATGCACTACCTATAAAATTTGCAGAATTGAGTAAATTTGAGTGTATAAATAACAACTCTAATTAGGAGATATCACTAATAAAGCAGAGGGATTAGCATCTGGAATACTCATATCACCAAAAAAAGCATCAGATTATATGTAGAACTCTTAAAAATGAAAAATAAGAAGACATAAACATGAGGAAAAATGTTTAAACCCACAATTAGTAAACAGAAAATGCAATGAGATACCATTTCACATCCATTAAATGCGAAAATATTGTGAAAGTTCAGATATTGCAAGTCTTGGTGAAGATACAGAGCAAGAGGAATTCTGTTACACTGATAATGAACATATSCATTGATACTGCCACTTTGAAAAACAAATTGCATGATTTTGTAAAACTGATCAAGTATACACGTAGCTTTATACCTTTACATGTCATCTGTGTATATGGGTGCATGTGGATTGAGAGGTGTACACATGATTATAATAATACAATAATAATAAAAACTTGAAAACAATTCAAGTATCATTTGACAGGAAAATGGGCATAACCAGTATAAATCAGTGATTTACAGATACTGAGGACTTAGAAAACAATATTTCTTAAATGTAAGCTTCTCAAGACTGCAGAGATTATTGTATCCTTTTTGTTAATACTCAAAAACAATCACTTTGAAAACATTAACTACAGATCGTATCYTACATCTGCCGTGTTTCACTTGTCATTCTTCAGTTCCATCTATTTCTCAGCATATTCTATGATCTCATTCTTCTTTATGGCTGAGTAAAACTCCACTGTGTATATAAACACTACATTTTCTTTACCCATTCATCTGTTGAAGGGCACCTGGGCTGCTTGGCTATCATGAATTGTGCTGCTACAAACATTGATGTGGATGTATCCCTATAATATGCTGATTTTAGTTCCTTTGGATAAATACCTAGGTAGTGGGATAGCTGGATCGGATGGTGGTTCCATTCCTAGTTTTTAAAGGAATCTTCATATTGCTTTCCAGATCGGTTGTACTGATTTGCAGTCCACCACAATATGTGAGTTTACCTTTTCCCCCACATCCTTGCCAGATTTATTATTATTTGTATTTTTGATGATTGCCATTCTGACTGGAGTAAGATGAAATCTCAGTGTAGTTTTGATTTGCATTTCCCTTATTGCTAGGCATGTTGAACATTTTTTCATAAATTTGTTGGCTATTTCTAATTTTTCTTTTGAAAAATGTGTTTAGTTCTTTTGCCCATTTGTTGATTTTTTTTGAGGGGGGGGTTCTTGATATATTCTAGATATTAATCCCTTGTTGGAGGAGTAACTGACAAAGATCTGTAGGTTCTTTCTTCATGCTTTTAATTATTTCCTTTGCCTTGCAGAGCTTTTTAATTTGATGCCATCCCACTTATTGATTCTTTATTTCTTGAGTGTTAGAGATCTTTTTGAAGAAGTCATTGCCTGTGTCCATATGTTGTAGTGTTGAGCCTATGTTTTCTTCTAGCAGTTGCAAAATTTCTGGTCTAATTCCTAGGTCTTTGATCCCCTTTGGGTTGTTTTTTGTGCAGGGTGAAATAGGGATCTAATTCCATTCAAAATATGAACATCCAGTTTTCCCAGTACCATTTGGTAAAAAGATTGTCTTTTCTTCAATGTATGCTTTTGGCACCTTTATTAAATATTGAATGACTGGATCTGTTTGTCTCTGTGACTTCTGTTACWTTGGTCTTTGTATCTGTTTGATGCCAAGAGCATATGATTTTTGCTACAGTATTATAGAGTACTGTAACTCTGTAGTATAATTTGAGATCAGGTATTGTGATGCCTCCAGCATAATTCTTGCTCAGGACTGCTTTAGCTCTTCTGAGTCTTATATTCTAAACTCCCAAATGAATTTAATTACAATTTTTTCTAGTTATGGGAAGAATGTCATTGATATTTTGATAGGGATTGCAATGAATATGTATAATCCCTTTGGTAGTGTGACCATTTTGACAATATTAATTCTTTTTTTTTTTTAAAGAGAGGGAGAGAGAGAGAATTTTTTAGTATTTATTTTTTTTTAGTTCTCGGTGGACACAACATCTTTGTTTGTATGTGGTGCTGAGGATCGAACCCGGGCCGCACGCATGCCAGGCAAGCATGCTACCACTTGAGCCACATCCCCAGACCTGACAATATTAATTCTGATTATCCAAAAACATGGGAGATCTTTCTATCTTCTAAGGTCAAAGGTCATCCCCAGTCTTCTTTCTTCAGTGTTCTATAGTTTTCATTGTAGAGGTCTTTCACCTCATTGTTTAGATTTAGTTAGTTTATTCCCAATATTCTTTTTGTTGTTGTTGAGATTATTGTGAATGGGATAGTTTTTCTGATTTCTTTCTCAGCTTATTCATTATTGGAYGGTGTTTTGTTTTGTTTTGGTACCAGGGATTGAACCTAGGGCATTTAACCACTGAGCCACATCTCAAGCCTTCTTTTATTTTTAATTTTGAGACAGGGTCTCAATAAGTTGTTTAGGACAATGCTAAGTTGCTGAGACTGGCTTTGAAYTTGCACTCTTCCTACCTTAGCCTCCAGAACCACTGAAATTAAAGGCATACACCACCATGCCCAGCCAGTATTGGAGTTTTTAAGAAAAGTCTTTCTTTGAACAACAAAATTCAGGAATATAACAACTTCTGTCTTGGGATTTCTGTTAAGTGTTAAGTGATATCATCAGATAGGAGCACCCAGTATATTTCTATGATTTGATAATATTCTAGCTTTAAGTTGTATGGTGGGTGACTGAGTGTTTCTTTTACCATTATACTTGCTGATTTTCTTTTGGAGACAAGAATTAATTGCATCTTACWGAGTTAATCATGTTACGTCCATCAGAATAGCCCCTTTCTACTAAAAATTTTTAGTAGCACATTCATTGATTATTATATGATTTGTAGTCTAGTGAGTTTTCTGTATTTCTTGAACTATAAATCTGTGTCTTTCCTTAATGATTATATACATATCAAGGAATGTAGTGCAGTATGAGATCTAGAGGTAGGCAGCCTGGGTTTACATCCTGCTCTACTATTTGCTAGTTGTATGATTTTTGAACAGGTTATAACTGGTCTTTAGCTCACTTACTTTGTTAGTGAAGTGGAAGAAGTCATTTCTCCTCATTGTGAAGATTAAACAAGTTCTTATGAAATTTAAGAAATAGTGYCTAGTATATGTTAAATAAATGCTAGGTGCATTAGTATTTTTATTATTGTAAATAATTATTAACATTCAATAATTTGAGACAATGAAAAAGTTTAGCAAGTTTCTTAAATGAACTAGAATTGGTTAAACTCTTATAATTCTAATGTATTTTACATTCTTCCCTAGAGAAGCATGCCATAGGGACATTGTGAATTTGCAAGTGGAGATGATAAAACAGTTTCATATGCAGCTGGTATGTATGGCAAACTGTGTTTTAAATGAATTGAGAGTTATGTGGAGCTAAAAAAAAAAGCAGTGTATTTTTACTTATTTGCCATATCTTGTTGCTAAGATAAATAAATAGGGAGTTTCAGATATTTAATAATATTTTAACTGCTCACCTCCTTTTTAACCTGTGGTAGGTAGTTAAGGCCACTTTTTCAGCACTTTCTTTCTTTTTTCTTTTAAGAAGCAAAAACCCTCCCAAATGTGTGAGTAGAAATCTATTAAACATATTAATTTCACCAGTGATCTTTGTGATTAAGTAAAAAAAAATCATTCAGCTAGTTAATTGAATATGAGAGAAATGATAGCTGAAAGTATATAAAACATATCTTGTCAAGTAATTGTGAAACACCAGTAATCTAAACAGCGTTTCCCCTTTTTCTAGAATGAAATGCACTCTTTGCTGGAAAGATACTCAGTGAATGAAGGTTTAGTGGCTGAAATTGAAAGACTTCGAGAAGAAAACAAAAGACTACGGGCTCACTTTTAAAATTTCACTGAATATGTTAATGTTTAATAATTTGAGGAGTTTCTGGCAACACAGAACTTCATAGAATCAGTATTGTTTTCTTGGTCTCTAGGGGAAGAAAAAAATTTTTCAAGTTAAAGGGTGTTGGAATTTTACACCAACCACTGTTTCATGTTTTCTGTCACAAATATTTATATTTTTATATTTAAACTGTACAATATATCATTTGTGTAATAGGAAAGTCAACAGGATCTTTATTCTGAAAACTTTAGCTATACACTAAGTGCCCTTTTTCATAGAAAATTGTGCATAAAAATAGGTTAWGTTTTTAATTACCTTTTTTAAACATATTTTTGATTGACAAATTGCCTTCCASATTTTTTGGGGTAGTTTTAGAAGTTTGATATACCTTCTATTTTTATGGAGAAAATGCCATTGACTAATAAAACACAGTTGGCTAGTAATTATTTTGTTAATGACATCAAGTATGACTATTATTTATTACTTGTAAATGTGGTAATTTTTTGAAATTTTGAATTGTACAGATGCATTTTATCTTTTGCATTTATGTTAGTACTTCTGATAACTTTGTACTTCTGGTTGATATTTTTTAACATTGCCTATGAGAAAAGTTTTAAGGGTGTATGAGACTCAACAAGAACCATATATGTGCCGATTTTCTCATGAATTATTAATATGCAAAATTATAAAAGTTTTAATCACCATTACTAAACTAGTGAAAATTTCATATTAAATACTAAATATTACAATATCATTGCCATCTTTTCCTCCCAAGAGAGAAGTGTGAATTATTTTGTTCTGCAGTTTGTATCATTAACTTTCTCTAATTCTTTCTGTGATATGAATAATATTTTTATATTATTTGCTTTATCATAAAATTATTTATAAAGGTTCATTGTGAAAAGAATTCACACCCCTTTGGCAGTAGTTGGACATTTGCATCTACCTGCCCTGATCTCCATTTTAGGTGTAAGATGAGGAGGGCTACTTGTTCATGTTCTTATCTCTTGCCCAAAGAGTTACACTGTATACCTTGAATATAGCTCTACTACTACATTTTGACTTCTAAGATAAAGATACATACTAAAATTTTTWAAAAATCTAGTTTAGCTTACTAACTTTATTGTTTTCCAAAATAATGGGAAATAAGTGTAAATATGCTAATAATTACTTCCAAAAATGAAAACAGGAATATTACTTTTTCCCAGTATGGCTCAGCAAATACATTGTATCAACACATATAGGTGTGTTAATGTTATCTTTTCCTGGCAGATTATGAATGCATTATGACTTGTAACAAGTTTCCTTATATGTCACCAGAAAACAGGTTTAGAAGACATAAACATTAGTGTGTTTTGCTTACATGTAGTATTTAAATCTGTAATATTTTCCTATTGTCTTTTTATATAGGTACACATAATGTATATTGAAAGGTGGAATAAATAAAACAATTTTAGTAACTTTATGTGTATAGATGAAACATTTTTGTCATGGATTTAAAAGCTAAGTACAAAAAATAAAATTTTTTATTTAAAAAAAAAAAGAAAATCTGAAATTGGACTTTTGCCTCTGACCAGAATGGTATAATAGGGATTAGATTTACCTTTCCAATGGAAATTAAAATAAAAAAGACAAAATGTCTAAAATAATTATCAGATATTGGACATTAGGCAATTTTACCAGACAGTGATCCGAGTGGGGCTAACAATGAGACCACAAAAGTTCAGTGAACTACAAACACAAGAAAAAAAAAAAACTATACCAAAAATTCTTTAAAACGAGCAATAAGGGGAAAATTCCTAAAAGAAGCTGAAGACACAAAAGAACAAAGATAATCAGACTGTCACAGTGGAGCATCATCTTTTTTTTTTTTTTTTTTTTTTTTTTTGGTACCAGGATTGAACTTGGGAGGCACTGAGCCATATCCCCAATCCTATTATGTATTCTATTTAGAGACAGGGTCTCACTGGGTTGCTTAGCACCTTGCTTTTGCCCAGGCTGGCTTTGAACTTGTGATCCTCCTGCCCCAGCCTCCTGAGCCACTGGGATTACAGGCGTGTGCCACCGCGCCCAGCTGAAGTGTCATCTTTAAAGTACCAAAAGAAAAATTTCAATTTAGAATTCTATATTTAGAGAGAATGCTTTCAAAACCAAAAATGAAAAGACATAGAAAAGATGGGAGGTTTTTCACAAGCAGAATGAACTACAGGAAATATGAAAGAATGCCTTTAGTTGGAAAATGACACCGCATAGAAATCTTCAGCTACACAAAGGAATGAAGAACACCAAAAAATAGTAAATATGTGAACAAATAATCTTTTTCCTTGTTTTAAATTTTATTTCAAAGATAATAGATTAAGTAAAAAATAAAAACATCAGATATTGTGTTTCACGTATGTAAAGTTAACTTGTACCATGATCATCAAAGTTGGGAGGATGAGAAAGAAAGTACAGTACTCCTAAGTTTCTTCCACTAACTGAAGCAGAAAAATATTACCTGAAGTAGACTGTGATAAGGATGTAAATCCTAAAGCAACCACAAAAAATAAATAAACCAACAAAGATGATAAAATGTGGCCATAAAAAAAATCCAAAAGGAGAKAAAAGGGAAACAAAAAATAGATGAAAAAAATGGAAAATAAATACTAAGATGATAGATTTAAATAGCCATATCCATAGTTACTTTAAATGTGAATTGTTATTTACTCTTAATCAGATTGAATCTGTTTAAAAAAATCCAACTACATAGTGAATAAAACCCAGTTTAAATATGAAAATTTAAATATAAAAAGAGGAAATGTTAATATATTGAATCAAATGAAGACAAGATGCCAAAATTTCAGAGAATCAACTAGAGCAGTTTTTTTGTTTTTTTGTTTTTTTGTTTTTTGTGTGTGTGTGTGGGGGGTGTTGGGGATTGAGCCCATGGCCTTGTGCATGTGAGGCAAGCACTCTACCAACTGAGCTATATCCCCAGCAGTTCTTTCAAATATTTAAAGAAAGCATCTCAGTTCTCAACAAATGCTTGTAGGAATTAGAAAGGGATAATTTCTATCTCATCAAGACCAGCATTACCCTGATATCTAAATAAGGCAGCAGCATGACAAAATTACATACCAATACTTACCATGAACACAGATGCAGAGGTTCTACCTCAATTTTAGTAGTTTGAATCTTCTGATGGGTAAAAAAGATAATACATAWAACCAAGGATACAAATGTGGGCCAGCTCTAGAAAATTATAATTCACTGTATTCAAGTATCCTGGAGAAAACATAATAGTCTCAGAGAGAGCATTTGACAAAACCCAAAATTTATTCCTAATTAAAAACTGCAAATTAGGAGTAAATACATTTGTCTTCAATCTAACAAGGGACATCCATGAAAAATCAGCAGCTGGGCTAAAAACGTCTGGTGAAAAAATGGAATGCTTTTGCCTAAGGTCTGGGACAAAGTAAGGATATGTAATGTCTCCTGTTAAACATTGGTGTGGAGTTTCTGGCCAGGACGAGTAGGTAAGAAAATTAAATGAAAGGCATCCAGATTACAAAGGAAGAAGTAAAAAATGTTTATTCACAGATGACATATTAACTCTAGAAAATCTTATGTAGAAAAAAAATCTAAATTTAATGATGCTATAGACTACAAATTCGTATTCAAAAATCAATTGCATTTCTATACGCTAGGAACAATCAGTGCAGAAATGCATWAAAAATGCCATTTTCAGGAACATAAAAATGAGACACAAGTATAAATTTGATAAAGGATAAGACTTGTACTYTAAATTCTGCAAAAACAGCTGAAAGTAAACCAAATAGACATACGTGTGAATGGATTGGAAGGCTCAATGTTGTTAAATGACTTCTTTCCACATTGGTATGTATTTAGCCGAATCACATTAAGAATTTTAGCAGAACTTTTTTGTAGCAGAATTTGTTAAGCTGCTTCTAAATTTTGGAAATATTAGTCTAGAATAACCACCCCACCTCGGAAAAATTTTAAAAACACAATAGAGGGGTTACATTTCATAATTTTGAAGTTTGTTGTCAAGCCATAGCTAATCAAGACAATGAAAAACCATGAATACAGTGACATACATTAATCTAGCATAGTAAAAATCCAGAAATACACCTATATATAATCAACTGATTTTGAACAAACATGTAAAGGTAATTCAYTAGAGAAAGGAAAGACTTTTTCAAAAGATTTTGTGGGTATATATGAAGACATATGCAAAACTGAAAAATCCTGATTCATACTTTGCATTATGTACAAAAATTAACTCAAAATGAATCACAGAACAAAATATAAAACAAAATGTTTGTGACTTTGGGTAAATTGAACTTAAGCAAATTAAGATATGATCTTCAAAAGGTACTCTTAAAAAAATTAAAAGGCAGAGCACTAAGAAAATGTTGCTTAATCATATCTAAAAAGATCTTCTATCCAGAATGTGTAAAGGAATCTTAAAAGAATAAGAAAACTCTTCGAAATGGTTAAATGATTTAGATGGATACTTCTCTGAAGAAGCTACRAAGGCTGCAAATATTTGCTTGAAAACATACTTGTAATCATTGTCTTTAGGGAAATACAGACTACTCCACAATGAGATACTACTACACTCTTATTAAAGTAGTTAAAACTTTAAAAACTGACTATATCATGTGTTGGTGTGGATATGGAGCAACTGGAATACTCCAGGAATTGAATATAAAATAGGACAATCATTTTAAGTAACATTTTGACTGTTTCTTATACCATTGAACATATGACTGTCATAGACCCTAACCCTTTGCTCCAAATATTTAAGAAAAATGAAAGTATACACATGAGACTTGTACATGAATGGGCATAACAGTTCCAGTTATAATAGCCAAMATCTTGAAATAACTGAAATTTTGTCAACAGAGGAACGGATAAACAAATTGTATTAAAATAGAATACCATCCAGCTATATAAAGGGAATAAACTATAATATGTACAGCAACACAGATGAATCAAAAAATAATTATATGGAGTAGCATAAACCAGTACCATGTGGTTCCAGTTATGTACAATCCTAGAAAATGCTAACTTAACTATGGTGACAGAAAGCAGTTAGTGTTTGCCTAGAAAACAATGGGAAAAGGGTAAGAAGACTTGTGGGTGATGACTACATTCATAAACTGATTATGATGATGCTAGTGTCCATGCCAATATTTTCCAAATTATATATTTTAATTGTGTGTGGTTTATGTCAATTATACCTCAATCTGGTTGGTTGGTTGATTTTGATACTGGCAATTGCTCTTAAAAGGTACATCCCCAGCTTTTCAAAAAAATTTCTTTCTTTCTTTTTTAGATAGGATCTTGCTAAGTTGTTGAGGCTTATCTCAAACTTGTGATCCTCCTGTCTCTCAGCCTCCCAAGTCACTTGGGTTACAGGCATGCTATACCACACCTGCTTCTTTTTTCTTTTCTTTTGTACTGCTAAAGGGACCTCTTCTTTTTTTTCTTTTTCTTTTTTTGTTTTTGTACCAGGGATTACA